GATCCCGTTGCCGGTCCTGGTCCGGTACGGGCGCGACACTGAGGGTTGCGATCCATTGCCGGTCACGAAAAAAGACAAAAAGGAAAAAAAAAAAAAACTTTGTTGAAAAATAGAATTCAAAGGTAATACAAATCCTTCCATGAACTTTTTGAAGTACCCTCCTATAAGCCTCACCATTTTTCATACCTATGAATTCTATTTTGTAAAGATGGCATTCTCTAATGAAAGAGAACCAAATTATTTACAATTTGCATTGTTTTTCCTGATTTCTTCCCCTTTTCTGGACTTCTCAAACTTTAATGTGCGCATGGATCACTTGGGAATTTTGTTAAAATGGAGATTCTGACTCAGTAGGTGTGGAGTGGGGCCTTAGATTTATATTTTTAACAAGCACCTAGGTGATGTCAGTGCTGCTGGTCCTTGGTTCACACTTTGAATAGACAGTGTCTAGTGAGTTTTGACATTAAAGCTATCCAATGGGTATTATATCTATCACCAGATAGCTTCCTGCTTTTTCTCCCTTTTTTGTTATGCTGGTGGTACATATACTGTAAGCTTGTGTCATTTGTGGGTCAATAGGCGCAAGCACTCTTTATTCTGTTTCTAGGGCTGTTGTATCAAATAAGGTAATGTTTCTCCTTTGCTATCTCATCTTCCCAGTCCTACACAACCACTAAACTTATTCCTATCTCAGTGGATTTGTCCATTCTGGACATTTCATATAAATGGATTCAAGTAATATGCAGCCTTTATGACTGGCTTATTCATGTTGTAGCATGTATCAATACTTCACTCCTTATTATTGCCAAATAATATTTCATTTATGGATATATGTCACATTTTATTTACCAGTTCATCAATTGATGGACATTTGGGTATTTCTACTTTTTAGCTATTATAAACAGGGCTGCTATGTGTATTTGTGAATAAGTCTTTGTGTGGACATGTTTTAATGAGTTAAATTGCTAGGTCATGTGGTAACCCTTTAATTTTTTGAAGAACTGCAAAATTGTCGTCTAATACACTGCACCATTTTTACTTTACCACCAGTAGTGTATGTGGGTTTCAATTTCTCTACATCCTTGCTGACACTTATTATTATCTGCCTTTTTGAATATAACCATCCTAGTGGATATGAAGTGGTATCTTACTGTGGCTCTACTTTTTTTTTTTTATGATGATTGGCCTGTATGGGGATCCAAACCATTGACCTTGGTGTTATCAACACCAAGCTCTGACTGAGTTAACCAGCCAGCTCTCTACTTTTTTTTTGATATACAAATTTGTATGGTATATTTTATTTTAATGTAACCAGAAATATGTTAAAAAGGAAATGAGTACTTTAATTTACCAGATATCCTATTTCCCATCCCTTCCCCTAATTTGAAAAC